CGCCTCTCAGCAGTTTGTGCTCCACTTTTATCCAAGGCTAGAACCCAAGACAGAAATTCCTATAGGTTGTGGGCCCACTGTATATCAGACTGGGAGCCTGGGCCAGAAACGTGAAGACATGGATTTGCTGAATTCATTGAACGACTCTAGGAAGTGGGGGTCACGATCCTATGAGTTCAGGAAAGGGCCTTGGTGATAGGGAGGCTTCCAAGTGTTAGGGGGTGTGATGGCTAATCTCAGTTGTCAAGTTGGCTGCCCTGTAATCGACTAAGACACATGCTGCTGGGCACCCCTGTGAGGGACACTGGCCGCCCCTGTGAAGGATTTTCTGAAGCAGGGAAGACCCACCCTAAACATGGATGCTGCCTTGAGTGGCAGTCCCATAAAAGGACATGGAGAAAGGAAACTTCTTGTTTTGCCGACTTGCTCTTACTCCAGCTGGCAAGCACATCTGTCCTGTTGCTGCAGCCTCGCTTTCAATGATTCTAGAACCAGCTGCTTTGGGTTTGGAGACCAGGAATCCTCCGGGCTTTTGAGCCATCTTGGGACTGTTGCAACATCCAGCCTTCTGGACTGGATGACTGCTGGATTCTCGGCCTGCCTGGTGTGAGACAACCATGCTGGGCTACCCAAACTCTATCCCATGAGCCAGTGTAATAAAGCCCCTCTATATAGTTTCTCATTTCCGTTCCTGCAGAGAGCCCTAATACAGAGGGATCTCAGTGGACTGACCTCTGGCTGAAGACTGAGTGGACACAGAATGACCCTAAGGGAGGGGGACAGGGCATCAGAGGGTCTCAGAGGAAGGTTATTTGCTCCTTCTCCAACCAAATGTCCCTAGCCTCTGTCCTGGAGCCAAAACCCTCCAGCGACCCCCACTCTGGCCTCTGTACCCGCCAGCAACCTTAAGAGAAATCTAGAAAGAGAGGCCAACGTTTCTATTTTTGATGAGACACAGATGAAATGAAGGCTTTTAAATTATTAAAAATCCAGAAGTAAATTATTTATTCAGGTCAGATATAAAAGCGCCTCTCATTTTACGCCCATTACCGACCCCCCGGGGGGCTGTCACTAACGCGCTTCTTCCTGACAGGTCATTTGTCTGCTCGGGGTGTCAGTGCTCTCCTCTGAAACATGGACGGGGCTAGAGTGTTTCTAAGAGCTTCTGGCACTCAGAGAAGCCCGAAGACCCAGCTAAATCGGGCTTCCTCCAGGAAGCCTTCCCATCTTTCCCCCCCCCAGGCTTGCCTAACCTCCCAATCTGGTGAGAGCACTCGCTTCTCCCAAGTCCTGGATCAAATTACAAAGCCTCCTGCCTCCTCAGGCCCCACACAGCACCCTGGGCAGGGTCCCAGTTAGTGTTTGTTGAGAAAACGAATGACTGCGTCTAAAAATGGTAACCAGCCCTCACTGTCCTGGGAGGGAGGGATTAATGATTGAGTCAAGACCTGGGCCCGAGAAGCCCCATTCAGTCTGTCCAATTGCACATCCTTGGTGCTGCTAGATTATTTCCCCTTGAGGACTCAGCTTGGGAAGGGAAAGACATTAGGTTGCCATAGCAACAGATTTTTTTTTTTCCTCTCTCTGTCAGAGCAAACATTTCTAAGAAACCTGGAGAGATTGCAGTCAGAGCACTGAACACTTTGCCTCCTTCCACACCCACAAAGGCCTCGGGGCCTACAGTGGGCCCTCCTGTTTCCTAAGACCTCTCTGGGTAGAGGGGCCCATACCTTGCCCTACGGCTTCCTCAATTTCCCCACATAGCCACCAGCACCCAACTGACCACACCACCCTGGGCCTTTCCCATCCTTAAGGCCCAGGGCCCTCAGAAGGGGGCACTGGAGAGGCAGGGGAAGGGAAAAGGCTGTGTGGAAGAAGAACATCAGCTCCCCAGCTCTGTCAGCCTCGGGCTCACCAGCCTGGAGAAGTTTAAGGTCTGAGATCATAGGTCTTAGGAACAAGCCTCAGAGAGGCCACAGGGCTTTCTCCAGGACACCCAGCCAGTGAGAGGCACAAACAGGGTTCAAACCTGGCCCCTTGGTGACCTAGATCATTATTTTGCCAGGCTTGAACCCAGACACAGAAGCAGATCTCAAGCATTTGGGTGTGCACAGAAATAGGTGGGAGGATCGAGGGTCCAGCACCTCGGTGCCCAGCGCTGCCTATTTGTGGCCTGCAGGGCTCCTCTTAGCCTTTGAGACTCTCAGATGGAACACAGAGAAGCTCTGTGGCTTTGGCCAGGCCCGTGAGCCCTGGGAGGCCTGCAGGCTGCGAGACAGTGGGCTGCTCCCCACAGCCCTGGCTCGTATGTTCACTGAATGCAGTCAAGGCAGGAACAAATGATTAGGGCCACACTCGAGCCAGGGCGGAAACAGGCAAGCTGGAGCCCATGGTCCAGGATAAACCACCTCTAGACAGGAGAGTGGGCACTCAGGACGAGCCAGGCTCCTTCCTGGAGGCACCGTGCAGTCAGGAGAGGTAGCTGGGTTCATTGACCAAGAGCGGGGACTCTGGAACCCTGTCCATCACCATGGCTACCATCAACCAGGCCATAAGCACCCTAAACTTGGGAACATGGATGGACAGCTCAGGGTTACAGCCCACAGATCTGACCACAGCAAGGATTTGAATTTTCATTCTACTCCTTACCTAGGATGACTTTAGATTTGGGGCGGCTAATTTTTTTTTTTTTTTTTTTCTGCTCATTAGTAGCACACCTGTCATCCCAGAAACAGTTGACGTTTTCAACTTTCTGCCTCTTCTCTGCCCTCGCTAGTGGGCTTTGCTTTGGCTGTGGCCTCGGCACAGTTGCCAGGAAAGGGTTTGCCACAGTACCACGTGACAGCAGACTCCTCATAGCCTAGCAGCCAGAGGTTAGCTCAGAATCTTACAGCCCAGAGCCCACTTCCCAGCTCGAAGTCTCCGCTCCCCGCCCCCTCTCCTTGAGATCTGTGCCTCTGTGGTGCTTAGCTGCCCACACATGACGCCTGCCTCCAAACGCAACATCTTCTGTTCTTGTCTCCATGACAACATGCACCACCCCTGAGTGGGACCACTGCTGCTCAGCTAACCCTGAGGCTGGTCCCCGTGCACTTTGGCTGCCCGTCTGGGAAGTGTATGTGTGTGTGAGAGTGTGTGTGTGTGTCTGGGACACCTACGTGCTGCTTAAGCCAAGATTTAGTATTCACTCCTGTTCTTGTTCCCCCACGCACAGGCCAACGTGACAGCACGTGGGTGGGCACAGGGGTACTTGAGAATGGGAACACAGCCACGAAAGTACCAGCCCCTTATCTTACACTGAGTGTGAGGGTCGACTGATTCTGAGGCCCTCCAGCCACGGCCTAATGCGTGACAGGTTTCTGCGTGTGCGAGAGTCCTGTGTGCCTTTGTACTTATCGACATGCCGGCATCTCTGGATTTGTAATTCAATTTGTGCATCTGTCCGACAGCGTTTGCCTCTCCAGCAGAGTGGCGGAGGGGCAGGTACGTCCTTCTGCTGTCAGCAATTCGGAGATGACAGCTCATTTTCTTCCACTCCACTACTTAGAAATCTCCTAGGGAGCTAGAAACCCTGCTGGGGCCAGAAAGATGGCTGCCTCACTGCTGTGTTCTCAGGCAGTGAGCTGGTAAGCTAGGGGCACAGAAGCTTCCAGTTTGGTCCTCAGGAGCCTCAATGTTTTCTCAGGATGTACCACTTGACTTTTCTTGTCCAAAGATGGGAGCTATAAGAAAAACCCCAGCCAAGACACAAAGTGAAGAGACATTTAGTCACGGGTCTGCCAACAGCTGGCCACGTGACCTTGTATATATAGGTCAGTCTCCTTCCTGCTTGTAGTGATTCCTCGTGGACTGTCTAGCTCATCTTGTACAGAATGCCACCAAACGACAATCGGGTGACTATCCAATTCTCCCGATAGACATCATTTCCTGTTATCTCCTTGACAACCTCGTCGGGCGCATGCTACGAGCCCAACCGATAAGGCTGTGTGGACAGAAGTATAAAGACTGGATTCAGCCTGCCAGGCTGCTCGCCAGGAGGCCCCTCCTCACGCTTTCCTGCTGACAGGGCCATATATCAAAGAGGAAAATGTCAGCAAAAAAAAAGAAAAGCAAAGGCGTGAGGTCGACAGGCTGGCAAGCAACAACTGTGTTGGGACTCTGAGATCAAGGACTGCATTAGGAAACGGCCAAAGCCTGGAGTCAGAGAGCAATGGAGGACCGAGACATCCCAGAGTGCGAGTCAAGGGAGAAAGGCAGGATCGAGTACAGAAGCCCCAGGTGCTGAGATTCAGGCGCCAGAGCCTAGAGGCCACGGTCCTATCACACAAGGAGGCCAGGCATGTGCTCATGGGTGTGGTATGGCATGTGTATGTGCTCATAAGAAAGGTGCCTGATGCCAAGATTGACAGCCTGTAACTGGTCCTCAGAATCCGGATGTCAGGAGAAGAGAATGGACTTCTGCAAGTTGCTCCAGACTACTACATTTTGTACCTGTACATACACACACACACACACACACACACACACACACACACACACACACACCTACCTATGCACGCACACACAGACATATGTACACATGCACACACAAATATGCACGTGCAGACACACGCATGCACAGACACACGCACACACAAACACAGAGAAACACAAGAGTGTGCAGGAGTATGAGTCCTTAGGCCATGGTTTGGGAGAGGAGAGAGGAAAAAAGAGCTACTGAGTTATTTATGGGGAGACCAGAAGAGAGGAGCTAGCAAGAAAATTATATGTGAGGGTATTTGATCACTACATTCATCTGAGATGATTACTCAAGCACCTACTGTGCGCATCACTTGACGTGAGCAAAGGGCGTAGCCGGCCTTTCTAGCCCAGCAGGTCAGAAAAAGAGCACAATGTGACTCTATTCCTGCCAGTGTCACGTGAGAGAGGTAGAGAACCATCTACGCGCCTCAGAGAAGGGCTGGCAGGCTCAGGAAGGACCCCAACCAACTTCAGCCTAGTGAACCAATGAATTTATTTGCGTGTCATAGTTTTTGTCAATTTGATACACCTGGGAAGAGGGAAACTCAGTTGAGGAATTGTCTCCATCAGATTGGCTTCTGGGGCATTTCTTGATATCTGATTTGATGTGGGAAGGCCCGGCCACTGTGGGTGGTACTCTCACTGGGGAGGAGGTCCTGACGCTGTCTAAGAAAGCAGAGTGAGCAAGCCATGGGCAGCAAGCCAGTTGGCAGCATTCCTCCTCAGCCTCTGCTTCAGCTCCTGTCTCGAGTTCCTGCCCTGGCTTCTTTTGATGATGGACTGTGACCTGTAAGGCAAACTTCCTTCCTCCAGGTTGCTTTGGTCAGTGTTTTATCACAGCTTCAGGGAAACAAAGTAGAACCCTGGGCTATTCATAGGAGCACGGGTAAATGGTTATTTACAGGAGGACAGCTTACAGTACCAAAAAGCCCTCCTCAGGAGGGTGACAACTCAGAGAAAGCCAAGTCACTGACGAGTCCCTGTTCCCAGCCACCCTTCTACCTCCTAGGTACCCTAACACCTGCCAAAAAGCTTACACAGTGGGGTGACAGGATGGAATGGTGATAACCCACCTCATGCCCCTTTCCACAGGAAAAGTAGCAGCCTCAGTTCCATTGCCAGGACAGTAGGCTAAGGTGCTCTGTAAGTCACCATGGCAACGGCTTCGTGATGGTGGATGCTTGGGAGGAAGCAGCCCCGCTGCAACAGCCAGTTACGGGGAGGCTCTGTGAAGATGGAGCCTGAGCAGAACTGCACGTCGCATCTTCAGCATGGCTGCCGAGAGCAGAGGTGAGGACCCACTGTCTCTTCTAGGCAGAGCCTGAGGCTGCTTGGTCAGCATGATCTTCACTGTGCTCCAGGCAGCACGATGAGATCTGCCTAGAGCAGCCGCTTCAGGGGCTAGCTGGAATGACCGAGCACGGCTGCAGGAAGAGTTGGGGAAGGTCTGTGAGCCAGTGAACACAGCTGCAAGAACACAGCTTATCAGGAAGGCAAGGACGTGATGGTGGTATCCAGGCCCGCTCCCACCCCACCCCCGGCCCTCCACCCTCGTTCTAAAGTCAGCCGTGAAGAGCATGATGGAGCTGGTCTTGAACAGACAAAGCACCCTGGGTACTGTGTGGTGAGTGAAAGTCGGGCCACATATAACCCCTACTTACCATACCCCAAAACTGAGTACCTTCGGACAGAGGACAGTGGATCCCACGGCATAAGCTGTCCCTGCCTGTGTACCACACTCTCTACCCAGGAGAGGTAAAAAAAAAAAAAAAAAAAAATGCCTAGTTCAGCCAGGCGGTGGCACACGCCTTTCAGCCCAGCACTCAGGAGGCTGAGACAGGTGGATCTCTGAGAATTTGAGGCCAGCTCGGTCTATAGAGTTCCAGGACAGCCAGGGCTACTCAAAGAAAACCTGTATATGAAAATGAAAGGGTGGGGTTGAGCTACACTTTTTGGAAGGTTTGAGATGAGCCATCTTTAGTCTCCCACATCTTAGAGACCACTAGCAGTCACAGATTTGTCCCCTAAGAGTGAAATGAACTCCTGAAATGGCTCCCATCCTCCAAGGTCC